ATATATAATACAGACAACACCATGCTGTCTGTATGTCATGCCTGTCGTACGAATGTAATACCGCATGCGCATTAAGGGTTGATGACTCGGCGTTTGGTGATCTTCCAGCTCCGAGTTGCTAAAATACCAAAGAGGACCGGGAAGGAATGTGGCTTCCGAAGGCGACACCAGGTGAGTGACCAAGGATTTAGGCTGAAGGCTCAAGCTGAACTTTCGCGTGTGACTTGGTGAAGCGCCGTCGAGGAAAGACAAACCAGGCGAAAATCACACCATATCCACAGAGTGAATGATAAGTGGGGTGAAGCATCCATCTGTTCGTCCACACTTCCGTCCGTCCGTGCACTCTTGCTTCCGTACCTATGTGCGTCCATTCGTGCATCTGTCTTTGTGTTCCTCCAACAGACCGTCTGCTTGTCTGTCGGTCCGCCATGTTTTGTATAGTTCACAATACAATAATTTCGCTGCACGCATCCAATGTTCGATGCCGCCCTGGCAAAAGCGTGGGAACGCTGACAAACGTGGTTGAAGCAGAAAGAGAACGAGCTGATCACCGTCGCATGAACAGCCCATGTGGTGACATCATCCCGCGTGCGAGGCTCATGGCTCCTTACGCAGAGAAGAAATGTCCTGTGGCCATCCTTTTTCCAGAACACCCGTCTCGAGCAGCCCTATTCGCCTAAATAACCGTTTTTCAGAATTACGCTCAGTCAGGTCCAACAGAGTTCTCTGCAAGCTTACGCCGTTTAAAATCAAATTTGTTCCTATCGCCTTCACTACTTCGCCCTTGCGGCGTAACTGGGCCTTTTTTTCAGCATCCTGAACGCGACTTGGTTTCTGAAACAGTGGTGGACTAATCCAGTCAATGCAGTGCGAATCAGATGAAGACATAAGACACACATGGACAGATACAAGGCTCTTCTGTGTCTAAGTGTGTTTTTGCCTTCGTCTAAGTCACACCGTATTCGTTGGAGCATGCATCAACTCGCCCAAGTCAAGGTATTGTTGTGGAGCACTCAGCTCCTTTTTTTCTGTGTCGCACTATCTCTCCACTCATGATTGTTTGACTTTAGTTAACTCTATTTGGTCTATTTATTTCCCCCTTTTTGCTCCCGAAAAACGGGAATTCAATCTCTTGCTTACAGGTCTTCGTTTGCGTATCGTTATGTATCTAATAGTATCCGTTTCTGTGGCACTTTGCGTACCGAAATTGTTCTGGAAACGTTTTCATCTATTCTGAAAAACGCCTTCATGTGATGAAACAAAAACAACCACGCACAAAAAAACGGCGCTTTTGACAACAATCACAGTTGTATGCTGTCGAATGTGCTTCTTTCGTTCAATTATCTTTTTGTCTGTGCTTCAACTATTCTAAGATACCCTTGCTACCAGCAAGAACATTTAGCCACGCCTATTTTAGACTTGTCCCATATAGACCACAAAGTGAGAGCAGCAGTCGACTGTTAATCACTACTGTTTATGCATTTCTAACACGTGCTTTCTTCATGATGCACATAGTCTATCAAGCAAAGTCTTAATAATACTTCTATCTTACTCGATGCGGAAGCGATAGAGGCAACGTAGTATGACAATACAAGACGTGATCCCGATTGTCAACATGACTAACAATATTTATATTTAATTGGTTTCATTAGACAAAATCACGATACTGATGGGAAACGCTGTTTGCCGAAGACTCCGGATCGTTACGGCTAGCTGCAATTAAACCCTAAAATACATTAATCAAAGACGACATGCTTATTTTTATCTATTGCCCGCCAAAATGTTGTCACCTTGGTTGGGAGTCGAACACGTGCTCTGAAGAGTATTGCGACCACAAGATTGCGACCATAGATGACAACAAAACGAGTGCGCACATGCCGAGATAAGGATACCCTCGTAATTTCAGTGTTATGTCGATCGAACTTTAAAAAACTACCAGAAGTCATATCACGTGGTCCCAGAGTGTAGAAATACCTCTTGCGTTGGATAGAGAAGTAAAGTAATTAGTCTAGGCGTGACTCGGCGCACCGAGAAACAAATGGTGGATGTCAAGCATGCGCCCGAACATGCGGAGTATGACTTATAGTACGTTTCCATAACGGTGTAATCCAACCTAAGGCAGATGAGGCACTGTGACGATTAACATGTGCAGTTTATTGTGAACACAACTTTCTTCATCCCGCATTTTTATTATTGTCAGAAACAAGCTGAATCCATATCCTCATAAATGAGAAGCTCGTTCAAGTGCAAGTTATCCTAGGAGTTCCAAGGCAAATTTTTTTTTTGTCTAATGTGAATTCAAAGAGCGTCGATGCGTGTTTGATTGGGAAAGTTTAAGAGTTTAGGCAAGTGCGTTCTGTTGAATACACAATGTGGTATTTCCTTTTCTGTTGAAATTTATTCAAGTGTGAACCGTGTGAATATTAAAAAACGCCCTCGGGAAGGGTGGAGAAATGGCGACCATGAAGCAGCAGAATTACGGGTAAACGCCAACTCTAGTCGAGTGGCTACCATTAACACTGCGGCTTGCTTACTTGGCTGCTTCATAAGCGTGTTCTGATTCTGATTCTGATTCTGATTCTTTATTTCAGTATTCATTTACAACAAATGCTAGGACAGGAGCAAAAAGCCGCTATCATAGTGGCTTGACAAAGGCCCCTGCCCCTACAGAATTTGGCAGGAGACAACACACGTACTCAAAAACTGAAATGCATCGATATACAGATTGTCTTTCGGGAAAAAAAATCAAACTAATAAAACACTGAAATGTGTGTTGCAAATTGACGGCACAACAAAATGTTTCCTTTTTTCCTTACACAGAACGCACGTTTTTTTTAGTGAACAGTTCACAACGTTTACAAACACAATCGTAGAAAATATGCATCATGGTGAAACCACACAGATTTTCAAGTACATAAGAGCATGTAGGAAAGCTTTTACACACACCACAAAAATAAAAGATATACCACACCTAAGAAACAAGAAAGGAAAAGCAAGCAGATATGTGGCATAAGATTGCTCACATAAAGCCGCACGGCTAAGAAAATACTGCTTTAAAGTTCGACATGAAGTAGTATTTAAATTAATGTTTTCCCCCTCAAGATAGTTAAGCAGTAATGATATACGGTACGGTAGCCTGTCTCTTCCATGATTGGTTCGCGAAAAGCGGACGGCCCAAGTTTCCCGCTCTCTGATGTCATAATTGAGTTGATGTGGTTTGTTTAACTTGCAAAGATGAATAAATGCACCATGGCCTCGTTTAACGCTTTCTTTATACTTCATGGCAAGGTTAAACTTATAATGGTAACGAAATGGGAGAACAATGAACGGGGCAAATAATGGACTTGTACGGCTGTCATAAGGAACACACGCGACATGCCGCAATGCTTTTTTGTAGCAAAAATAATGTCCTGCAATTCTTCTTTGACGTAGTTCTCCATACTAAATTACAATAATTAGCATTAGAGACAAAGATTGTATTATACTACAGTAGCCGTATTTTCAATGCAAGAACATCCCGAAGCCTACACGGTGCCCCGCATGCTTTCGCCATACGTGTTGCAACACGTTCGATGTGTTTGTCCCACAATAATTGCTGATCAAAAATTACACCTAACGTTTTAACCTCAGCCGTGACTTCAATTCGTTCTGATCGATAGAATATGTTTACATTACGATTTACGTGTTTTTGGGTTGGTGCAAAAAGAACAGCTTTTGTTTTTTTTTAGAATTAACCTGCAAAGAATTTTCTTCGCTCCACAAATACCGCGTTTCGAGAACAGAGTTTGCTTGTTGGGATAAATACTCAGTACTACGTGACTGGAAGAAAAAGCTGGTGTCATCTGCGTATACTATATAATGTGGTAAGCTGTTAATGTTCCCTAAATCATTCATATAGGTCTTGAACAGTACGGGTTCTAATATTCTTTTTTGAGGAACATCAGCTTCCAGCTTCAGTGGGTCTGAGTATTCGCCCGAGATGCAAACGCATTGTTTTCTGTCCATCAGGTAAGACCTGAGAAGATCCAGTTGTAATCCACGCAATCCATAATGTTCTAGCTTTTTTAGTAAAGTAACATGGTTAATCCTGTCAAAGGCTTTGGAAAAATCAACAAATACAGCTATTGTTAATGTTTTCTCTTCAAAGCCATTCAAAATTAAATCCTTCTGTGTTCATAGAGCCAATTCCGTCGATAGGCCCTTACAGAACCAAAATTGGTATGGAGTTAATAGCCGATATTTTTTACAAAATGAGGCAACTCTTTTACAAATAATCTTTTTGAAACCTTTTGAAATGACAGGAAGCACTCACGCCGGCCGATGATTCGACATATCATTTCGGTCACCTTATTTGAACAAAGCAGTTACCTTTGCTTGTTCCATTTTTTTTCGGGAACACACCACTCAACATGCAAATATTGAATACGTGCGCAAGTGCATCTACTAGAATATCTAGTGCAAATTTAATTGGTTTAATTTGCAGACCATCAATGTCCCTTGCCTTACTGTTCTTTAAAGGTGTTAAAGCAGAGTAAACTTCTTCAGGGGTCGTGGGCTCAAAAAATGCAGTGTGTATATTGGGCGCTCCCATGTAATTGAGAGCGTCTGTACTGTAAGCTAAATTGGAAACTTATAAAGTGTTGAATGAAGCGATTCGCTAATTCAACACCCTTTAGCAGTTTCCCATTCTCAAAAACTTCGAGCTCTTCATTGCTTTCGCTTTGATTTAGAAGTTTAATAAGTGCCCGCCAAACTAAATCACCCTTGGAGTACGTATCACTAAACAGTTTTTCCATGTACACCTTTTTTTGCATCTAGAAGAAACTTAGTTACAAAACTACGGTATTTTTTAAAAGCAGAAAGATTTGATACTGACTACAATAGTTTCACTTATTACAATCCACTCAAGAATATCACTACCATGTTAGTCGATGCTGTCTAGGTCGGATGAAAAGAAACCGACTTATCTCCCTTAGGCATCATAGTTTGCGTTTACGTACCCTGTTACGAGGAATATGACATCCGCATCGGCGTAGAGGGTGTTGTTATGCCAAGTCATTATTGCGCCCAGTTTTTCCAGAGTCTCCGACGCATTTAACTTCTTCTCCTTTGTAGTGGTATTTTTAACTATGCCTTCCTCCTGAGAGTCAGAAGAAGCGATATGATTAACGGCCTTTAGAAAGTGTAGTGTAAAATAACGCTCACCTGAAGTTCCGACGATCCGACAAGTGTGAGTAGTATTTTCGGATCTTGATGTAGCTTGAAGAACTCCTCAGCCTATGACATAGTAACCAATGCTAGAACTTGTCTTCTTTCGTAAACATGTATGCCAACCAACATTATTATACTAAAAGCACTGTTTGTGGTATGAATGGCAGTGTCAGATAACAAGATAATATTGGCAAAGGTGTTGCAGAATAGTCAGTTTTGTTTTTCGTTAAATTCATGACATGCTATTTTGTCGTTTCATTTTATAGCTGGTAACGATGAGTACGAACCTCTAAATAGCCTAAAAATTGTGGGAACCTATAGCTTCGCCTTTAGGCGTTGAACTCGATAGCAATATCGTGTCCCTAGTGCGTACTGAAAACACGTAGTGAATGAAATATTTTCGAACTTCCTATGCACCCACATCGGCTCTTAAGGTAACAGGCACATTAATGTGTATGCCATTTGTAGTGGGTGACTAGATATGAACAATGAGTCACTATGATAATCACATGTTATGACGCCCGATAGCAATGTAGGCTTATACCACGTATTATTACTGCAATCTTTCATGTTGTTTTCTGATCCAAAACTTGATGGGAGCTGACAGATAGAAACAACGTAGTGGTATAATGATAAGATGAACACGTGAGGTGCCTCATACTCGCTGGCTGACGTTTCGATAGGAGTACTTATCATTTTGAGAGGCATTCGTCATGTTGTGTTGTGAAGCATGTATACAGAACGCGTGTGTTTATAAAGCATGAAAGGTAATTTGGCTGAATTTTCAAACATAGAAGTTGTTTTCACCGTGTTCACAAGCAGACGCGCAGCCGTGTGACAATAATAATAAAAAAACATCTTTTGATGAAGTGCCTTTCGACATGTTTTTCCTCATGAGTATGCACAGCCTATGGAAGACGGGTATGCAAGACCGCAACGCAGAACCACCTTTTTCTTCTAGCCTATATTTATTTTAGAATGGCTCTTCACTAAAGAAGCATTTATGATTAAATGAGCTTTAAAACGGACTCGTTCTTCATCTTGGTGAGGTGCTTGGCCTCACCACCTGTTCTGTATAACGCGATTTGAAGAACTCTCGCTGTTGTGCTGAACTTCGTCAATCGTTGAGTGTTTACTCAGTAATGCTAGAGAGCTTATTGTCTCTGTTTGATTGTACTCATGTTTCATTTAGTGTCATTTATGTTCATTCTAGAAGACATTGAATAATTATCAACAAAGAAAAGAAAAAGTGTAGGGGTGTAGAACACTCGCTTGCCACAAAAACAAACGGGTACGATCCACCATCAGACCCAGAATTTGTATTGTTTATTTAATTTGAATCTTTCTCAATCTTCGGTCACGCACGAGATTGACTTTTTGCTCACAACCAACGACACTCACACCGAAACCGATACCAGAATTACTGCGGTACGAGCTCTCGCTGTGCGATACGATACAAAATTTATGAGATAGGTTCAAACACCACAAAACCATTTGCAGTTAGCAGTTCGCTGATAGTTCGATTGTGTTTAGTTGCCACAAGTGCGGGAGCTAATACAAAGTCAAAAGCACACATATAACTCTTAATAATATAATCTGTGACTGTGTAATATACACGTACGTCGTTTCAACATTGGTCACAAAAGTACCCGACTTTGCAATGAAAACGTGACAGGAATCAGCAGCAAAGCTTGCAGTATTTGCACTGCATACACGGGAGGCAATTATCAGCAGGCATTTGTCACTCTTTATTCTCGCTGTCAATAATGTATTCTTTTAGGATCGCTTCGGAAAGAAAAAAAAACCTTCCATCCATTCGTAGAATAGTTTGTGCAGCATGGGGCGCAGCATGCACTCATTTTGCAGGACTCGCAACGAGTCAGATGGGTGACAAGGCGGCAGGCGCCGTGAGAACGTGTAAACGAAGCGCGGTGTGAGCCAAGTCATGGCGGGCGCGGGAGGCGAGGCGGCGTCGACCCTTTCAAAGAATTGCCACGGTTTAAGGGGGGGGGGGTGCCGGCATCGAGGCATTGTAGAACTTGTTCATCCTACGCCGCGTATGCAGCACAAAACTGTTGCACGACCAAAAGCTGCAGGAATGGGTGTTAACAATGGAGAGGCGGGTTATTATTGAAGTCGGGTATAGAGATGGAATCGTCTCTTTTTAGGGAACCTATATAGTTGGATGGCTCGCCGCATAATAGAGATGTGTATGAACTTGTGGATAATGCAAGCTGAAACTCTGTCAAAATGTAGAAAAACTGCCTAACGTGGTGTAAAACAGGAGGCATAAAGCACTGACAACAATCTCAGGGCAAAACAAACAACGCTGCATTTGTTCTGCAAGTACAAAACAACCAGGTGCGTTTGTTGTTCTTGGTGTCGTTGGACGATGAGGCCGCAAGAGAGGTTACCTACATAAATGTCGAGCACGCCTCATCTTTGCTATTCAATTTCTATTTTATTATTATTCCTATTTTTCGGAGCGATGACAATCGCCTACTATGGCTGAAAGATAACTTTATCTTCTTTGTGGAGAAAATACCGAATTGTATCACCTTACTGAATCCTGGCTTTTCTAGCGAAACGTATGTAGCCTTGCTTTTTGCAACGATAGACTGTGAAAACAACAAGGTTCTTTCTGGAGCAAGTCGTTAGTTATGCCCTGACAAACAAATGGAACAGTGACCCTCATAAGGCAGAGAAATCCAGACAACGCCTGATCCTGGGCTGACTGTTCTGTTCTCTACTTCACCTTCCTCCACTTTCCCCGTCTCCCACGCGTGCCAAAGCGCCGGTGTCATTCTTACTCATCACACTCGACCATGACTTGTATTCTCCGGTTGGCGGTACTGGCTGTTTGGCAGTGGCCGGACGTGGACACGCTGCGACTTTGTCTGGAAATGCTGCGGTGGTTGGTGCCGGTCACTCTTTGCCTGTGCTTGGAGATCTGTCAGTGGGTTTTCCGGTGGGCGGAATCGACTTTGTCGCTGTTGGCGAACTCGACCACGGTGCGACGTCTTGCGACAACTTGTATACGCTGCTTGTGGTGGGCGGCCTTCACTGCATCGCCATAGCCGCCAAACCATGGAAGGCTTGCCTTCATACAGAGACATTCTGGGAAACACGGCAGAAAATGGCGGGTGCGGTAATGCAACACGAAACAGCCATCAGGGCCGTCTGAGCATTTTGCACTGAGGCGAGGGACATTTTCCTGTGCGACTAGACGTCTGCTTGTCGTCAGGTTCCCGCGCTGACCTGCGACGTGTGCTGTGCTTTTGCAGAGTTGTCACTGTGAGGCTCCCTACCCTTCTCCAGCCAGGAATTTTTGAAGCATCCGTACAGAATATATTTTACGGAGGCTGGTTCACTTTACAAGCCGTCTCCACAAGGACAAGGCTTCTGCTGGGTGGCCTTAGGCTTTTTAAAGATCCCAATGTTTTGTGAAAAATAGTCTTTAAGCACGGAGTTCAATGACCAGTCAATGAGCGCTTTGCACGTAGATGTACTTGTTACTGGTCAGAGGTGATGTTGGCGGAATGCATGGACAGGCATGTCTCAGGTGGTAGCACGTCCAGTACGACGTGGGCTGGTGCCTCCAAGTGCTCAAGCGATGGTGCGCAGGGGTGTAGGCTTCGTTGTGGATGTCAAACACTATCAGCCATAGTAATGAATGCTTTGTCGTCGGACGAGTCAGAGACACAGCTGGGCTTTAGTCCAGTGTTTGTACTAGGCCTAGCTGCGCGGCTGTCTGCCGGTGAGCTGCAGTGCGCACTGGCCGCTTCGATGAGGTGCCCCTACCAAGGTACATTTTCGCTTGCCGTCAGGGTAGACTGGTGGTAGCAGTGAGATGGTAGTCAGTTCACCCAAAGGCAGCTATGAGCTTATTGCTCCAGTCTGTCCAGCACTGCTACCGCATGTCTTTGTAGCGATGCCACGCCGCGGCACCATTTAGAAGTCGGTCTACAACCATGGGCCATTTCTGAGGCTTCGTCTATGCTTCGCGTACTACTATAACGTCGACGGTTGCCACCCAATCTTTGGCGTGGTCGTAAAAGCAACTGATCTCCGATATTGCGCAGGCGGCTTGCGATGATGGGACCGCAGTTCAAAAAGCACAGAGTGTCAACGCGAAGCCACCCATCTCGTCCTCGAGCTGAATGAGGACACCACGCAGCTCCCTGCGAACCTCGGCTGGGCTCGCCTCCGGCTTGGGTGAGGCGGCTACGTCCAGCATAGTGTCGGCGATGCTGAATGCCAGAATATTGGCGTGGAAGACGGCGGTGCTCGTCGCTGTCATGGCAGTGACTGTGACACGGAGTCGCCTGATTGTACAACGCAGCCCCGTGGCGCTATCCGGTGATTCGCATGCGGAGCCCATGGTGATATCCGAGGAGTAGGGTATGATCCTTTTACTCACTCGAACGCAACTATTGTCAGGCAGAGCTGTCGTAGCACCCTTCAGCAACTCAGGTGTTGAAAATGCCGTGTGCGGGTGGTTGTCGCTGCGGGAGGCATTAACAGCATTCCCGAGAAACAGGAGGCTGTGCGCAGTCTTCCCGGCGCCGGGGTACACCAAGGAAGCCTGTACGTGTTCCCTGGATGCGCATGGGTTTCTGTCAAGTCATACCTTCGAACCACCGAAGAAGCATTGATGCCGTCCGTGGTTGATTCAGTGAGTAGCTTCAGCAGCGATCGGGTGGTGAAGTCCATGGCCGAGGAAGTGTGGACGGCGTTCCTATGAGAGAGAGACCCACGCTGCCCACGGCCCACGAGGTTGCAGGCACGTGGCTTGAGGCGCAAGGTTCAACAGTCGAGCTGCGCGATAGTAATGCAGAGAAACAGAGACAACGACCGATCTTGGGCCGGCTTGCATTGCTTGCTTGCATTGCTACCCACTCTGGAGAATTCGCCATGAAACAGGTAGTTAT